AGTCAAAATATTGATTATGCTGTAGGAAAGGATTTGGGGGGGTGGTTTTTATTAGTTGTAAACTAATTGTGGTATTTCCACATATGCACACCATGGACCCTGACCAAGCTCACTCTATTCACATTACTTCCTGATACCTCTCTGCTTCTTAAAACAATGTCAGCAGGTTTCATTGTTCCATTTTCATACATGCATGTAAATTACTTTAAGCCAGGTGCTGGTGACTTGAATCCTAGTTACTTAGGAAGCTGAGAGCTAAAGATCTAGGTTCAAAGCCAGCCTAGGCAGAACAGTCTGTGAGACTCTTATCTCCAATGAAATAGCAAAAAGCCAGAAGTGTAGATATGGTAGAGCATCAGCCTTGAGTGAAAAGGCCAAGTAAAAGCACAAAGCCCCAAGTTCAAGCCCTAGTACACACACACACACACACACACACACACACACACACACTTCTTTGACAATATTCATCTTCATTCATGTCCTTTGGCCCTCCTCCCTCCCTCTAGCATACATCCTCCAATAGATGCTGTTTTTGACAGAGCTCCCTGAGAGGTTAGTCCTCCCTTCAACTTTGAGACCACTAGCTTCTTATAGCTACTGGCTCACCAAGTTGTAATGCCATACATGCCTCTGTTTGGTTAGAAGTCAGTATTTTCTCATGGTTACACGATCTTCCGCTCATTCTGCAGCTTTGGTACATTTCCAGAACTCCAGAATGGCTTGTTGTAGTTGCATTGCCAGTGTTTGTGTTGTTTTTAAGGAAGAGTGGTTCACTACCATTCTCACTTCACCATTCCAGAAGTCAGTCACCCTTGAAAGCACTTTAAAAGCAGCAGTACCTGAGAAACATGGGAAATAAACCCAGGAGGAAGACTAGAGCCTGCAAAGTAATTGAAAAACAAACATCTTGTGACCTAAATTAGCAGTGTCTTCTCCAAATTATTCAGAAATAAAACTCTAGGCTTGGAGCTAGGGGCATAACTCAAATGGTAGAGCATCTGCCTAGTAAGTGTAAGGCCCTTAATTCATAAATGAATAAATAGAAATAAATAGATCCCCAGAGTAGAGGTCTGGCAAAAAAGGGAAGTGGAGACCAGCTGACAGGAAAAAGACTGGAAAATGAAAGCTGGGTGTTGGTGGCTCTCTCCTGTAATCTTAGCTACTCAGGAGGCTTTGAATGGTGATTCAAAGCCAGCCCAGGCAAGAAAGTCTGTGGGACTCATCTCCTATTAACCATCTGAAAACCAGAAGTGAAGCCATGGCTTCACTTGGAAGAGCACTAGGATTGAGCAAAAAAGCTCAGGGACAGTGCCCAGGCCCTGAATTCAAAGTCCACAACTGATTTAAAAAAATAAAAGAAAAAGGAAAAAAAGTGACCCTCCCAAACTGCTAATGTTGGTTATCTTCCAAAATGTCTCCTAAGGAAGGAATACTTGCTCTGCTAGATTGGAGAGTGGGGTTGGTTTTACTAGATACTTGAGGGGACTTAGATGTCAAACAAGAGAAATAAGTTTGTATACTACAGGACTTTTGAGAGTGTTTGTTAATAGGCAATGTAAGTTTCTAAGATGTATCAGTAATCTACATCCTTTTTCAAGGTTGTTTGGGATCCTTTTTATTTCTCTCTTCCAGCCTCTATCCTACTAGGATTAAGTGTTCTACCAAATTCACTTAGAGAATAATGGTCTAAGTAAATCTAAGCATAGTCATCACAACTCATTCAATATTTACTTTCCATGTAGCAAGAACCAAGAGAGATCAGATTGTCAGGCTTGCAATCTGCAAGATTCACAGGACTGGGGTTCAGCATTTTATTGCCTTTGATGTTATACAACTTACCTGATCTACTGACGTGAGTAGCTGATACAGCAAACACCATGTCATGTATCTAAGTCTAAGTCTTGAATGCAGGGCCTCACACTTGAGTGGCTCACTTGCTAGGAAGATGCTCTATCATCCTAGCCATGCCTCCAACAAGCTTTTTACTGGTTCATGAGAGATGGGGGTCTTACAGACTTTTTTCTTCCCAGGATACTTTTCCATTACTAGATCTTAGCTTCCTGAATAGCAAGAGTTATGGGTGTGAGCTAAACTGTTACCCAGCTTGAAGTCTAAAGTTTTTTTGTGAATGTGTGTGTGTGTGTGTGTGTGTGTGTGCTGGTATTGGGGTTTGAACTCAGGGCCTGAGTGCTATTCCTGAATATTATTGCTCAGGACTAAAGCTCTTCCACTTGAGCCACAGCTCTACTTTGGCTTATTTTTGTAGTTTATTGGAGATAAGAGTCTCACAAACTTTCTGTTCAGGCTGACTTCAAAGTTTGTTCCTCAGATCCCAGCCTCCTGAGTAGCTGGCCACCAGCAACTGGCTTAAAGATGTGTTCTTTCATCCAAAATGGTCTGTCCCTTCCTTAAACTACAGTAATGCTGCTGTGTGGAGTTTTTCAGTGTCTTGAACTTCAGGGTGTGTGTATGTGTGTGTGTGTGTAAATCTGAGGATCACAATTAAAAGCCAGCCTGGGCAGGAAAGCCTGAGAGACTCTTATCTCCAATAAACCACTAGAAAAAAAACCGGAAGTGGTGCTGTGGCTCAAGCGGTAGAGCACTTGCCTTGAGCTGAAGAGCGCAGGAGCAGCACCCAAGCCCAGAGTTCAAGCTCCACAACTGACCAAAAAAAAGTTTTTTTTAAAAAAACTTAGGGGCCGGGGGGGAGGGGGGAGGCTGGGAAGGGATGTGAAGGGTAAACAAAGGAGGAGGCTGCAATGCTTGGTAAGAAATGTACGCATTATCCTGCCCATGTAATTGTAACTCCTCTGTACAGCATGTTCACAAATAAAATAAAATTTAAATTAAAAAAAAAACCTTAGGGGCCTTGTAGTTGCTAAGCAGGTGTTCTACCTGCTTTTTGCTTTACTTTTCAGGTAGGGTCTTGTTTTTGTTTTGTGCTTGTGGCTAATTTGGACCTTGATCCTTCTACTTACACTTCCTGTCTATCTAGGATGATAGGTATGAGCCATGATGGTCCATTAAAATTTTTTTTTGTCAAGATGGGATCTTACTTTTTATCTAGGTATTGAACCACAATCCTCCTGACTGCTGCATCCTGAGTAGTAGGGATTATAGATGTGAGCCATCATACTTGGTTGGCTATTGGCTCTCTGAATTTAGGGCTCTGTGTTTTGCTTTTGAGGTGCCCAAGTAAAAGTAACACATTCTTTAGGGATCCAGGCTAGTCCAACACTAAGTAGCCAAGTATTTGGAGTCTTAAATCATTATTCCATTCAGCTCTTCCTTCAGTACCACTCACTTCTCCAACGTAGTCCAACAGGACAGTAAGACCTCCAGCTTTAGGCATTCCCATGGGTCATTTGTTACGTTAAGTCTGATCCTGTAGGAGGGATACTGTGGATATAGGCAAATGGCAGTGACTCCTCCTTCCTTCTTTTCTTCTTCTTAGTCACACTTATTACCTTAGCTCCTATGCCAGTTCCTCATTCTTTGGCATAGGTCAGGAAGGCATGTGTGTTTGTATTGTGGTATTATTGTATACTCTGTCTACATGTTAAACACTAGATAGGATTCAAGCTTAACATTACATTTTTACCTCCCTCCACTAAATTCTTGGCCACCTGACCCTGCCACCTCACTAGCTGTGGGGAAACCAGCTCATTGGGCTAAAGGGACTCCAGACTTGGAACGAGGCAGATCTAGATATGGATTTCATTGCCAATGTAGCTGTATGAGCTCCTGTTTGATGATCTAATATCCACCCTCGCATCTTAATGTAACCTCGATTTTGCTTGAGGTGTCACTGGATTCAAACGAAAAGACTCTGCTTTTCAGTCTCCTTTGCAATGAGATGGCAAGATGACATAGCTTTAACAGAGGTAGCCCAAGAAGTTCTGGGGATACTTCTGTTTTATTGATCCCATTTGCCTGTTGCCTTGTTGTCTTTCCCTTTGCTTCCTGACTGCCAGTAGTCTGGAGGTTCAGCAGCCACTTGTGGGGGGGGGGAGGAGGGTTTACAAGCTGATTGTGACAGTCAGGAGTTGAAAGGACTCTGTTCTCATGGGCATCTGTGAGCTCTGTTGTTGCCTGTATGGCTTAGGTGAGACAAATGGATCTCTAAGGCAAAGTCATTTTGTGCTAGTTATTTGTAACCTAAAGCTTCCTAGGAGAAATGGAAACAAATAGACTCTAGAAACATGTCTTTCCAGTAGATGTCCATGTACTGCTTCCTTTTCTCTAGCTCTGAGTCACAGCTGTATTGACACAATGAGGTTCAATCATTTCTCTAGTGAGTGTGTATAATCCCGGTGTATGTGTGTGTTGGCATACGGGTTAGTGTTCAATACCATTCTCACCTGTCCTAACTGAGCTTTTATACAACAGGCCACCTCCTCTGTTTTTGTTTTTCTTGTGCTCGTACTTGGCTTGAACTTAAGGCCTTGTGCTCTTGCTTGGCTTTTTTTTTTTTTTCTCAAAGCTGATGCTCTACCACTTGAGTCACAGCTCTACTTCTGTTTTTTTTTTTTTTTTTTGATGGTTACTTGAAGAACAGAGTCTTGTAGACTTTTCTGCCTCATCTGGCTTCGAACTGTGATCCTCAGATCTCAGCCTTCTGAGTAGCTATGATTATAGGTTTGAGTCACAAGCACCTTACTGGGCCACCACCTTTATGACCCGTGGAAACACTCAGGTCTTATCCAGGCCTGCTTCCCCCCTCTGCCTACTGCATGCTGCTGAGCCTCCTTGCTTTCCTGCAACTGCCAATTTTCATGACATCACCTTAGTTATTCCTGGGACCAAGTATCACACTAACCAGGGCAATTAAAGCCTTCCCAGACCTTGTCAAAAGGAAGTGAATGTAAAGGAATTTTTAAACTACATTATTCTGTATTTTTTAAACCATTGAATGGCAAAAAAAAAGGAATTAAATCTTTTCTTTTTTTTTTTACTTCAAAAGAAAATCATATAATGAGATGATCCTGTTGGGCCTCAGGCATACACATGGCTTCTGTTCCCCAAGGCTTTCCCAGTGATCCAGGGAGGGATTCCAGCCTCCGCGGATCCGGGCTCCTGATTGGACAAAAGTCTGTCCAATTCCTTAGTGCCTTTTCCTGGTGAGGGTGCTGTGACCCACTCAGCCCTTCCAGCTCGAGTGCTCCTCCTTCATGGCCTTCACCAGCCAGTCCCGCTCAGACCCCTGCTCAGAGTCGCTGGTGTCGCTCCCCTCCACAGCTAACAGCTTCGAGTAGTTGATTTTCCGCCCTTTGGGCAGCCTGGGTTGGATGGACAGGAACAAGGCCAGCCAGACCAACAGGATCACGCAGCAGGACCGGTAGAGCACAACCAGGTTGAAACGCATCACCACGAAGCCCCCTATGAAGCTGCCCAAACTACAGCCACCTCCGTAAAAGTGGCCCTGGAACATGGTACCCAGAGGTCTCTCGGTGCCCGGGGTGGCTCCCTCCTCTATGGAGGCCGCCACGGCCCACCACAGGGCCCCTCTGCTGATGGCCCCGAGGATCTGCACGGGCAGGACGGACCACCAGCTCCACAGGAAAGAGTAGTACAGCAGCTGCCCCGCCAGGCAGCCCAGGCCCAGCCCCATCACGCCCAGCCGGGGCAGTTTCTTGAGCAAGGCCGCTTTGAATGGATGGAGCAGGAGTTCCCCCAGCAGGCTGAGGGCCACAGAAAACCCCATGATCAGCTCGCTGCTGCCGTGGTCTTTCATGTGCCAGAACAGGAAGTTCTGCACCGTACTGGCCACCGCTCCTAGCAGAAAGACGGTCAGAGCCAGGAGCACGAGGCGGGCATCGCCTCCGAGCAGAGACAGCGCTTTGACGGTTTTGTAGCTGGGTTCCGGCCGCCGGGAGAGGGGGACCGGGAAGGCGATGCTCACCAACGAGGCCAGGATACTGACCAGGGAGTAGCTGTAGAAATGCACCAAACCCCGGGGGCCGTTGGTCATGGGGAAGCAGTCCAGTTGCCCCACCAAGGCGGTGATGCCACACACCCCTGCTGCCATGCCCAGCAATCTCCAGATCCACAGGTTTCGGTAGCGATCGGTGGCGTCCACGAAATCCAAGTATTCATAAAGGCTGTCATCCGCCACCTGCTCCAGAGGGGCGGTGAGCAGCTCCCAGAACACCAGGAACCCCAAGGAGAGGATGAAAGTCCATCGCAACCCTTCCAGGGAGAGGCCCAGGACCTGGGCTTCTTCCTCCGCCGCTGACAGGTTGGCTGGAGCTCCTGGCACCCTCCCCAAGGGCAGCAGGGCCAGGGCGGAATTCACCACCTCCAACGCGCCCCCCCATGCGGCGTCTCTCCCTGCAGAAGTACCCGGCCCGGGAACTCGGGTGGTAGTCCTGGCTTCTTCCATAGGGCCCACCCAGTAGCCCCTCAGACGTTCTAGATCGTCTTGGCGGGGTCCATTTCCCGGGCCCGAAGCTTCGGGAGTTGCCGTCCTCCCTGGCGGGCTGGAGGTCCACTCCGGGGCGGAGATCGTGGGGGCCCCCGGGGTCCCCCGTGGCGGGACCGTGGCGGGCACGCCGTGGCTCCCGTTGCAAGCGCGGTCCACCGGGTGTCCATCCAGAGGGGGGACCAGGACCATGAGCAGGCCGGCCCCCGCCGAGCCCAGCAGCGAGCCGAGCAGGAGCATCCGCCGCTTCTGGTAGCTCCTGGCCAGGAAGGTGCAGAAGGGAGCCCAGCAGGCCGCCACCAGGTGCTTGGTCCCCATGAGGATGCCCACCCAGGGCGCGGACAGGCCCAGCTGCCGCAGGTACAGCGTCAGGAACGGGGCCACGCAGGCGTCCCGGACCCCGCACACCAGGTGGAAGAGCCGGGCCACCCCCAGCGCCCTGCTGACGTCCCACTGGGGGTTGGCGCTCATGGCTGCCCCGGCTCTCCGTCAGACCCGGACCTGGGGACAGCGGAGGGGAGCGTGGCGCGGGCGCCGTGGTGGCCGGGGAGGGCG